GACCATCTAGCAACGCAGTGCGAAAAATGTTACACCACAACTATGCTAGAAGACACAATGAGGTCCTACGATGCATCCACTTGGGACTCAGCAAGAAGTATGGTCTGGAAACATTCCCGCGCTTGCGAAGCTATTCTAGGAGGTCATCACAAATGAGGATGTTGAGATCAGAGCCAATACGCAAGTGAGAACTGCAATCAGAATAAAAGCGGATCGACTGGATATCATGATGTGTGATAAGAAGCGACGTGCAGTAATCCTGATTGAGGTTGGCATCACTGGTCAGGATAGTCGAGATCGAGAAGAAGAGAAAATATGATCTACTTGCTAATGAGCTTGGGTCACAGATGAAATGCAGGACTAAAATAATTCCGTATGTGATGACTTGGGATGGGATTGTAACAACTTCCACAAATGCTATGCGAAGGAGCTTAGTATATTAGACCACATCGAGGCATACATCCAATCGATAGTTCTCAAGAAGACGCTCGGAAGCATCTGCTTCGACAGTCGATATGAATTCCACGAGGACAAAGCGAGAACGATGAGTACAACAAATCTGAGCGCGGGATAAGTACTGCCAGAAGGCCGGAATGCGACATAGCGCCAGAATCATTGAAGCGAAAATTAAAGCTAACTTCCACATTTTATCTTTTTCTTTTTTACTTATAAATATAAATAAATAAATAAAATGTGGAGGTCAATTTTAATTTTCGCTCTATAAATATAATAAGTATTATTATTTTTGTTATTACTAATTATTGAAAGGGTTGCATTAAAAGAAGTTGTACTTTTTCCCACAGGAAGTAAAAAACACAACTTTAAAAAGAAACCATAATCTTAATACTACTTGAAAGGTATGTCACTACTATGGTTTAAAAAATTTTTACACCAAAAGTAAATTTAGATTATTAGTTCTGCATCACTTATGACTAAAAAATTATGCTGACAAGAAATTTTCCACTCAAAAATTTAAGCATTAATAATCATTAGTTTGAAAAGGCATTTAAGACAGAAAATTAAGTCGTACCGCACGTTTTATTAGTGTTTCAGAAACTCGACGGGATTGTGGGGGACTTCCTGATCGGATGGAACTCTTCAGAAGTGATCCAACAGAACCTTGCTTGTTGCTAGAAGTAATATGATGATCAAGCAGTTCATCGCTGCTTACAAAAACTGACAAATTACTCATGAATTTTTCTGCATCGTGGTTCTTTTCGAAAAATACTCTTTTACTTTTATAGTTTAGACAATTTTTTTGAGTGCTAATAAAGGTATTAGATGAACAAGATAAAATATAATGTTCAGAGAATAAAGAATGTCCAACTTTTTCGAATAAGCTTTTAATTTTTCAGTTCAAACCACATTCAACAGAAAAGGAAAGAAACTCAACTATACCAAGCAGCGCGAGCAATTCTTGTAACTTTATAAGCATTTAAGTAAGCAGGAACAGTAAGCTGTAAAAATTGGCAGTAATCCGTAACAACCAGGTCATAATCAGGGTTGAACTGAATGGATTTGATGAGCTGTGATTTTGATCCTAAATCGAAAAATTCATTTCTGATTGTGTGGCTATTATTATTAATGGTTTGCGATATTTCTTATCCATTAGAAAAATTTTTTCAACGTATAACTTAATATTTCAATAAATTAGATGATAAAGTAGCTAAAAAGTAAGAGAAAAATTTATGTCAATTCCCAATTTTAAACCTGTTAAAACTGAAATAAAATAAATTACCGACGAATAAACAATCGATTTGCTAACAAATATTAATTTCAATTTATTTATTAATTTATTAGCAAAATCTTGTCTCATGTTACCTAAAAATTCACCATTACTATCCTCGTTTGCTAAGTCACCGGTAACCAATTCATCTAGCTGATCTAAAATTTCGTTTCCAAATGACGTCCACGGACCTGCTTCAAACTTCATCTGCAACTTTTTTTCGCTCAACTTTTTTGACCAAGTTTTGGTAATTACGTACTTTTATGATAAAAATTTGGAAAGTTCACAAAAATAGTCTCATACTGAGAAGAATTCGCGA